CCCACCCCCACCCCCACCGCCCATCATGGGCTGGGGTCCCCCTCCACCACCACCCCCACCAGGCACCTCTGGTGCCCCCGCAGTGGGTAGTATGGAGGAGGTCATCGTGGCCCAGGTGGACCACAGCCTGGGCTCCGCCTGGGTCCCCTGCCACCGGCGGGTGAAGCCCCCTGCGGTGCGCATGAAGAAGCTGAACTGGCAGAAGCTGCCGTCCAACGTGGCACAAGGTAAGGACCCTGGGTCCTCACAGGTGGCTTCCCTCGGGGGGTGGGGGGTGGGCCCTGCTGGGGAGAATGGCAGGCGGGACCTGGTGTGTGTGTGCGCATGCCTGGCCTCCCAGGGCGTGGGCCGGGGCAGTCTGTCCCTGCTCTAGGCAATTCCCCTGTGTGGACTCGGGTGGGGGCAGGGGGCAGAAACAGGTCAGAGGTCACCTGTGAGGACCCTCTCCCCTCACCAACACCCCACAGGCTGATGTGCATCTCTGACGCCCCAACTCCTGCACTGCCCGGGCCCCTGGCTGGGTGCTTGCAGCCCTGGGAGTTTGGAGGTGGGTGGGGGGAGCTGTGCTCAGAGATCATGGCCAAGGTCGCTGCCAGCCTGGACCTCGTGTGATCCATGCGGGTCCGCACTGCTTGCCAGCAGCCGAAGGGCTTCCTCTGCCAGGCCACCTGCCCCTCGGTCCCCGGGGCAGGCATGAGCCTGACGCCCTCACCTGCAGAGCGCAGCTCCATGTGGGCGTCGCTGAGCGGCCTGGGCCCCGAGGTGGTGGAGCCCGACTTCTCCAGCATCGAGCGGCTCTTCTCCTTCCCCGTGGCCAAGCCCAAGGAGCCCGCAGCTGCCCCCGCCAGGAAGGAGCCCAGGGAGGTGGGGCCTGGGCCGGGGCTGGGGGCTCCGACGGGGGTGGGGCTCCGTGCCTCCTCCAGGTGCCAGACCCCCGGCCGCGTGTTTTCCAGATCACGTTCCTGGACTCCAAGAAGAGCCTGAACCTCAACATCTTTCTGAAGCAGTTTAAGTGGTGAGCGCGGGGAGGGCGGGCATCTCGAGGACGGTCCCGCCCCCGCCCCGCAGTCCCTCCCGCCGCCCATCCTGGGCTCCGCAGTGCTCTCTGCAGGCCGCCCCTAGGAAGTGCACTTCCCGTCCCTGGGGCCAGAGACGGTGGGCGGAGTGATGATAACCGCACACTCCCCGGGCTGGGGGCCTTGGCGACCCCAGGCCAGACTCCCTGGCAAAGCAGACCCAGGGAGCAGCTGGGACCCCCTCCCACCCCACCAAGCCACAGACGAGTGGTGGCCTAGTGGGAGTAAGGACCTGGCCCTGCCCCCAGCCCTGTCCTTCCTGTCAGGTGTCAGGCACCAGCTCCTGCTGCAGACCCACTGGGTGCTGCTGAGCCGCCTGCCTGTGTCCTGAGCAGCCCCCCAGCATGGGAGGCGGAGGGTGCTCTGGTCGATGAGGAGTGGGTTCTTAGCCCTAGCCTCATTGCTGTGTGACCGGGCAAACGGTTCACCTTCTCTGTGCCCCCAACCTCATGGGCACGCGAGGAGACCCCGGTGTGGCCAGCAGAGGTGTCGCGGGCCGAGGGCTGCCCGGCCTGGCCGGCAGGATCCCTCTCCCACTGCCCGCTCCCCCGCTACCTGTTCTCTCGCTCCCTCCAGCTCCAACGAGGAGGTGGCTGCTATGATCCGCTCAGGGGACACCACCAAGTTCGACGTGGAGGTGCTCAAGCAGCTCCGCAAGCTGCTCCCTGAGAAGCACGAGGTCAGCAGGGAGGACGGACGTGAGCCCTGCTGGGGGCTCCCAGCGGGAGGGGCAGGGAAGGGGGTCTGCGCATGGGCAGGCAAAGCCAGCAGGCAGTCTGGGGGGGCTTCCTGGTGGGGGCGGAAGCTGGAATCCCACGTGTGGGGCTCCTCCCCACAGATCGAAAACCTGCGTTCATTCACGGGGGATCAGGCCAAACTGGCCAGCGCCGACCAATTCTACCTCCTCCTGCTGGGCATCCCCTGGTGAGCTCCCACCTGCCTGCCCCGGGGAGGGGGCGGGGACCGTGTGCAGAGAGAACAGGGCTGTGCAGACCAGGCCCCAGGCGCCCGAAGACGCTGCCCATCTCCCTCGTGCACCCTCAGCCGCGGGGCCTCTCGAGGGCATCTGTGGGGCTGGGGTCTGCCTCCAAGCCAGCAGCATGGAGGGGTCGGTGGAGGCCTCCCCAGACCTTCCCGGGAGACCCCCAGACTCCCGCCTCCTCTAAGTGGGAAGGGTGCCCCACAGGGAGGCCAATGGGCGTCCAGGCATCTGGGTGCCGGTCTGAAATGACCTTTCCTGGGCCCTGCCCCAGTCCCCTGGAGCCCGTCCGGGAATGCACATGCTGAGCAGGGGCAGGTGTGGGACCCCAGCTCTGTGGAGTGGACCCTCAGGCTCCGCCCCCGCGCTGCAGCCCCGCCCTGACCGCCTGCTCCGCCTCCCCAGCTACCAGCTCCGGGTCGAGTGCATGCAGCTGTGTGAGGGCACGGCCGTCGTGCTGGACATGGTGCGGCCCAAGGCCCAGCTGGTGCTCACCGCCTGCAACAGTGAGTGGGGCCCGGAAGTCCTGGGGACCGCCACGGGGGGCGCCTACCCGCCCCGGTGCCACCAGCATTGCGACAGCTGGGAACGCCTGTGGGTGCTGACCTTCCGCACCTCACAGACCACCCACCCCACACCATACTCAGACCACACACACACACCATACACAGACCACACACACACACACGCACACAGATGTATACATGTGTAGCCACGCAAAGTGTGTGCATGCACACATGTGTTCACATGTAGGCATGAACATGTACACATGAACATGTACATACATTTGTGCATGCACAGACACGCACACACACACACTGCACATACACACACCTAGTGCACTAGCGCACACACATCACCATCTCTGAGCGAGTTGGGGGGCCTTACTGCAGCTGCGGGGCAGCAGTGTGGACGGGCCCGGCCACCAAGGTGCAGCTCACTTCTGCTGGGGACACACACAGCAGGCGTCCACTTCCATCCCAGCCACGGACCCAGGAGGGCCACCCTCCCTGGGATGGTTAGCTGAGAACCAGGGTGGCTATAGGTTCTGGAAGGTTCTGCTCAGCTCCTCACCCACAGAATGGGGCTGTAGTCATCTACCCCCGGGTTGTGAGGTTCAGTGAGAAATGACCTGCTTCCGGAGCCCGGAAGCTCATCGGCCGTGGGGTTCCAGCCGCCCGCCCATCCCTCCCACAGGCCTGCTCACCAGCCACCAGCTGCCCATTTTCTGCCAGCTAATCCTGAGAATTGGGAACTTCCTCAACTACGTAAGTGGCTGTGCCCCGGCCGCTCTCAGCCCCATCCCCCGGGAGTCAGGGAGACTCACTCCCGTCCCTCGCAGGGCAGCCACACAGGGGACGCCGATGGCTTCAAGATCAGCACGCTGCTGAAGCTCACGGAGACCAAGTCGCAGCAGAGCCGTGTGACGCTACTGCACCATGTGCTGGAGGTGGGCCGGGGGCCGGGCGGCCTGCAGGCGCCTCCCCGCGCTGCTCCCGGCTGTCCAGGCTGGCGTCCACACCCCACTCTGCCTGCAGCCCCTCCTGGGCGGCCCCCATTCAAGCCCCTCATCCCCCCACCTCGCCCTCCAGCTCCCGTCCAGGCCCAAGGGAACGGTGTGGACGTCCCAAGTGCCGAGGCCTCTCTGAGGGGTGGGCTCGTCGTCCCCAGGGCCCAGGGCTCACTGGACGTGTGCCGTTGCAGGAGGCACAGAAGAGCCACCCAGACCTCCTGCAGCTGCCGCAGGAGCTGGAGCAGCCGTCCCAGGCGGCGGGGTAGGTGTCCCGGCCCCGTGTCCCCTGCCCACTCCGGGGCCCCTCCTCTGGCTCTCACGGCTGCAGGAACGATCACTTTCTCTTTGGGACGGGAGCTCTCGTCCACCCTGGCCTGTCCCCATGTGACTCAGACAAGGACACCGAGGCCTCGAAGGGGCAGGGAGTGACCTAGCCATGGTCACACTGAGGGCTGGTCTAACACAGTCTCTGAAGCTTGGCCCGTGAGCGAGGCTGTGCCGCCCCCGTCGTGCCCGTCTGGAAGTGAGGCAGAGCAGGCGGGGCCACGTCCATGGAGTCGCAAAGCCCAGAGCGGCCAGCTCCAGGGGCAGCCCAGGCCGTCTGAGCCCGGGTCCCTGCTCAGAAAGGTTCTGTGGTCTACAAGCTCCTGGACCTCGTGGGGCGAGGACGGGCTGAGCCTCTGGGGCGCTGCCCTGACACCACAGACCCCGCACCTGCCATGGCGGGCCCCGTGCCCCACACCGCTCGGCACGGGCTCAGCCCGACCCAAGGCTCTGCTGTGCCCCTGGGAGCCTGCCTCTGTCGGGGGCCAGGCCCTGCTGTCCGGTAAGGCTGGGCATCAGCTGTCACCTGACCCCACCTGGCCTGTGGTGCCTTTCAGGATCAACCTTGAGATTATTCACTCGGAGGCCAGCACCAACCTGAAGAAGCTTCTGGAGATGGAACGGAAGGTGTCGTCTGCCCCTGAGGTGCAGCAGCAGTATGCCCAGCGCCTGCAGGTGAGTGTGGCGGGTGTGGTGCACGTCGTCCCCAGGGAGCAGGACCCCCACGTCTGGGCGTCTGCCAGGCCGGGGTCCGCGAGGCCGGAGAGTGGGGGAGGAGCGAGCCGGAGCAGGGGCCCCGCAGGAGGCGGCTCTGCTGTTCTGCCCCCGGGGGCCCGCGGGCGAGGGGCCTCCCCCGATCCTGGGGCCACAGCGCCCAGACCCCACCACCGGGCCATGACCACCGGGCCGTGACCCTCAGGCCAGTATCGAGGCGTCCCAGGCACTGGAGGAGGTGTTCCAGGCCATCGAGCAGAAGAAGCTGGAGCTGGCCCACTACCTGTGCGAAGACGCCCAGCAGCTGTCTCTGGAGGACACGTTCAGCACCATGAAGACCTTCCGGGACCTCTTCATCCGCGCCCTGAAGGTGAGCGGGCCGCAGCGGCCGGAGCGGTGGCCGAGGGGCCCTCACAGTCCGGGCAGGGCAGGCGCGGGCAGGCGCCCGGGGGCGGGCGTCACGGGCATGGTGTCCGCCCCGTGCAGGAGAACAGGGACCGTCAGGAGCAGGCCGCGAAGGCAGAGGCACGGAGGCTGCGGGGCGAGGACGGGAAGCCAGGTGAGGCCAGGCCCGGCGGGGGCGGCCGCGGTGGGCACCCTGTCTGCGTGGCCACTGCCCTCCCCGCTCAGAGCCTCACAGGGTCGTCGCCCAGGCCGCTGGGTGGGCCCAGGGGACCCCGCGAGCAGCGTCTCTGAGTGTCGCTGGGGCTTCTCAGTCAGGAAGGGTGGCAGGAAGCAGGAGGAAGTGTGCGTCATCGACGCCCTGCTGGCCGACATCAGGAGGGGCTTCCAGCTGCGGAAGACAGCCCGAGGCCGAGGGGACGCGGAAGCGGGCAGCAGGGCGGCGGCCGCAGACACCCCAAGGGACAAGGCTCCCGGTGAGACTCACCCGCCTCCTCGCCAGAGTCTTCCCTGGGCTGCCCTGGTGCCCGGCACCTGCCTTCCTCCAGGAAGCCCTCCCCAATCTCACAGGGGAGCCTCATCTCCCTTGCTGCCCTGAGGTTGGGGACAGTCCTGAGGTAGGGGACAGCGTGAGAGGCCACTCGCCTGACAATGTTTCCATACATCTCTGACTCGACAGAGGGCTCCCGGCTGCCGTGACAGTCATCAGTCCAGCCCCAGGGTGGACGGGAGGAGTGGGGCCAGTGGGACGAGTGACAGGTGCCCCCGGAGCTCGCAGGGGCTGAGGTGGGGGAGAGGAGCCCGAGGCCTTGGGGGAGCCCCCGCCCTCGCCTGGGGCGGCTGCCATGGAGGCTGGGGCCCGGGGCTGGCGGACACACTGCTCAGGACTCAGCTGCCCTGTCCGAGCGTGGACGAGCAGGATTTCGAGGCCAGGCCTGTGCTGTAGGAACCCACACTTGGGGACCATCAGGGAGGGCTGGGGGGCACATCAGGTAGGTGCTGAGGTGGAGGGGGCCCCAATGGGCTTCGTAGGCAGGGAGCCCCTGGGGGGTGTCTACCCTCCACTGACACGTACTGCATCCACAGTGGTCTCCAGCGACCCCACAGGAGGCCCCGTGGGAGGCACCAGCTGCCCTGCCTCTGGGCCTGGTCTTGACACTGAGGTGGCCAGGGAGCCCCTGACCTGGGACCTCGTGGATGCCACCGTCCCCAGCCCGGAGCCCACTGGAGACGTGTCGGAGGAGGACGAGCCCCGGCCCCAGGAGAGGCGATCGTCCTGGTACATCGACGCCAGCGATGTCCTGCCCTCGGCAGATCCCCAGAGCCCCCAGCCCCCTGTAGGGTCCTGGCCGGTGGCACTGGGGGACGCTCAGGCCCTGAAGCCCCTTCACTTCTCCAGTGACAAGCCCCCCGGGGCCATGGGCTCAGGCCACGACACTGAGGACCCCGTAGCCCCACGGGGTGTCTGCCAGGCCGAGGACGACAGTGCAGACGAGGGAGCAGAAGACACGGCTGTCCCCAGCCGCAGCGCCGAGGACAGGGATGAGGAGGACACGGCCCCGGATTCCGCTCTCGACACTTCCCTGGACAGATCCTTCTCGGAGGACTCGGTGACCGACTCCCCAGGGTCCGGCACCCTCCCGAGAGCCCGCGGCCGGGCCTCGAAGGGGACGGGCAGGCGAAGAAAGAAGCACCCGTCACGAAGCCAAGAAGGTAACGTGGGGCCCCCCCGCACTCTCGTTCCCCGAGCAGGGGACCTGGATGGGCGAGCCACACAGGGCTCAGGCCACCAGTGTGTGGTCAAGCTCACGCGTACCGCACCAGGACCCGGGCCTCTCTGCAGCAGCGGTCCCCCCGCCAAGAGTGGGTGATTCCAGGGCGTCCCGCGTCCCGGGAGGGGCAGCTTTGGGGGCTGCCCGGTGCCTGCAGCAGGAAGGCCGCCTGGCGCGGGGCCTGGGGCACGGCCGCGCTTCGGCTCGGCCGGTCCACGCGACCTCAGCTCCCCGTCCAGGGCTCTCACGAGGAATGAGCTGTTGAGTGCGTTTCTTTTATTTGAAAGCAGAGGTTGCCCCCGACTCTGATGATAATAAAACAAAAAGATTCTGTGTGATCCAGTAAGGTAGGTGCCTGGCCCCGCCAGCTGCGCTAACGGTGGTGGAGCGGGGCCGCGCCGGCCCAGCCGCTGGACACTAACCCGCCCTCCGCAGCCCCCCAGGCGGCCCCCTTCCCGCCCTCCTGTGCCGCTTGTGGTGGGACCCGCCCGGCCCCGCCCTCTCTGGAGGGCGGGGACCATGCCTCGCTTAGCTGGTGACTTCTCCGCTATGGCAGCTGCGACCTCAGAGCTGCTGCTGGCAAAGGCCTTGAGAGGGTGCGGTGGCCAGGGTCTGCGTGGGTGGTCTCGGGAGCTGGGCTCCAGGGCCTGGGGCGAGGGCAGCTGGGGTTGCCACACCCATGACCCTGACGGACCCTGGGCTCGGCTGGCCCCGGTGGCCCCCGGGGTGACAGCGTTGCTCCGAGTCTGTCCCTAGGGCACACCCTGGCCCTCTTCTGGCCTTGGTGTTGGCCACACATGTCCATGGGGAGGCAGCGAGGGACAGGGACGGCCCCAAGGCCAGGCTGCCAGGGACACAGGCCGAAACGGTCTGTGGTGGGGCTCCCGGCCTGCTCCCCGGAGGCCAGGTCTTACGGGCAGTGAGTGGGCTGTTCGGACGTAGGGCCCAGGGCCATCTGTCCCGTGGTTAGTGGGTAAGGCCGACCACCTGGTGGAGGCGGTGACCCCAGCAGACCCCGCTGCCCAGGGCGTCATCGCTCTGCGGCCGGCGCCATCTCCCGGGGTGCTCGGTGGCTCTGAAACGGTGAACCTTTCTGCCATTGCTGCCACAAACCCCTCCTGGTTCCCGGTCACGTGAGCCTCGAGTGTGGGTGACTCATCGCTGTCGTCCACGGTGATGCTCCCGGGGCCCCCGCTTCTGCCTGGTCTCCCCTGGGCTCAGTCCTGGCTCAGTCCTGGCACCCTCGAGCAGGGAGTGGGGCTGATGGGCCACTGTGAGTGGCGTGAGTGACATTTCGAGCAGCTGATTCTGGCCGCCCACTTTGTCGAAATGGTTCTCTAACTCGAGGCTCCCTGAGACCCCACAGGGCCAGGACAGCACCTGGTGGGGCATTTGGGGGGGACAGCGAGTGAGGACCCGTGGACCAAAGTGTGTGGGGGTGTTGGATGGGCAGAGGGCCCTTGGGGCAGCCCTCGGGACCCAGCTGGAAGGACAGGCGGGGCCGTCCAGTGCGAGGCCAGCGTGCAGGGCTCAGGAAGCCCCGGGGTGGGGGGCAGTGGGGACCAACGGCTTAGACAGTGGGCATCCTGGCCCGAGGCACGGGGACACAGGACCCCGTCTCCCTCAGAGGCGAAACCCAGCCAAGACAGGCGGACAGGAGCCTTACACCTGGGGGAGCCTTACACCTGGGGGCCCTAACCATGTCCAGAGTGGGCTGGGGTCAGAGCAGACTCAGGGACACTGGCCAGTGGTGACGGAGGGACAGTCAAGCCCTGGGGACCCAGGAACAGGCACCCTGGCGCTGGCCCTAACCATGTCACTGCCTCTTCCTCCCCACAGGCCTCAGGCCCAGGCCCAAAGCCAAGTGACAACCCCCACAGCCAGCCTCCCCACAGCCGCGAGGCAATCTCCGTGCCTTACCCAGCCAGGGACGTGGGCCTCCCGGAGCCTTCTGGGAGCGCACGGCCAGGACCCCGATGGGCATCGGTCCCACCCCGCCTGGCGGCCTCCTGGACCGCCCGCACAGCCCCGCCTGCGGTCTGCTTTCTCAAGCCCGTGCCCACGCCTGCATGCCCATGGCGCCCAGGGGGCCAGGTGGCTGTGTCCGCAGGCCGCCTCCAAGCTTTCACCCACTTCCTGGTGACCCGGCACCCAGATTCTCCTGAAGACAGGCCCTCGCAGACCCCCGCCCCAAAGCCACGGCAGCCGGAACTGGACCCCCACCTTCCCCTACCAGGCCCCACTCCCCAGCTCTGCCCCCTGCTCCCTTAGCTGGGCCGAAGCAGAGTGGTTTTAACCAAAATATGACTGTTTATGCGTTTTGGCTGTTCTGTAGTGGCTCAGTTGGGGGCAAGCGGGTGGACGAGAGGACCAGGGACAGAGGCAGGCTGGCCGCAGTGCTGTGGGCAGGACCGGGTCCTCGTGCTCAGCAGACAGGTGGAGGGCCACGTGGGGTTGGCCCCCATCCCAGTCTAGCACTGAAGGTAGGGCGGTGTCTGCCCTGGCTGCCACGCCAGGACTGCCTGCCCAGCAGCCGGGCCCTGGCCACCTTGCCAGCACAGGGACCCACCATGCAGCTGCTGTTCCCACCGCCAGAGGCTTGCCCCGCCCCCCTGCTGGACCGCGAGGCAGCCTAGAGGACAGGAAAGGTCCAGCCAGGGGGCTGCCCCCGCCCCTTACTGCCCTACTCAACAGAGGGGCAGCCTGCCCACGCCCCCTGCCCCCTGCCCCCACCCCAGGCGTGCTGCCCAGGCTGAAAGCCAGAGGGACCTGGACCAATAAAGTACAGAGCTGGCTCAGCCTGTGGCCGTGTTGTGCTCGGCAGCCGTGGGTGGGCAATGGCAGGGCCTGACTGCTCGCGACGGCTGTGACACTGGGTGGGATGGACGGACGGGTGGACAGGCGGACGGAGGGAAGGAGAGATGGTGAACGGATGGCTGCATTGTCGGGTAGGTGGATGGGTGGAGGGAGGGGCAGAGGGCCCACCCACACAGCACCTGGAGTGGAGGCAGAGCAGCTGGCAGACACCCCCCCGGTGGGGAGACGGGCGCACTACGGGGCACAGCCCACCGCTGTGAACTCCCCTGCTGTAAGCACCGGCAGCTGCTTCCCAGCACCTTCGCGAGGCTGTGCAACCCTGACCATGGTCCGGGGTCGGGATATTTCCATCATCCCCCAAAAGTTCCCTCACACCCGGGAGCAGTCACTCCCCATCCCCTCTCCCAGGGCCTGGCACCCACGAACCTGCTTTCTGTCTAGAGATCTGCTCTTTATGGCCACGGCAGGTAAGTCGAGTCACACGGCATGTGGCCTTTGTGATGGCTCCCTTGTTTTGTGGCGCCGTGTGTCAGCCCTCTGCTCATTTTCACGATACTCGGTCGCGGACGGAGCACGCTCATTACCCCCCACCTGTCGGCGGACACTGGCTGTGTCCAGTGGCTTTTGTGACCAGTTCTCCGTGACACCCGCACGCTGCCCTTGTGTGCGTGGACGGTTTTGCTCCCTGAGGAGGCTGTGGCCGGGTCGCAGGCTAAGTTTACGTGTAACTCGCTAAGAAACGGCCAAGTCCGTTCCCGCCGTGCACCGTTTTACGTGGAAGGCAGAAGCACGGGTGCAGGTGTCTGGGGTCTGTGTCCTGGTGGGTCACCGTCTGACGTGGCCCCACGTGAGGCGTGCCCCCACAGAGCAGAAACGCTGGTGGCCGAGCCCGCGCGCTCCCTGAGAGCTCGCAGAGGTCACAGAGCAGCCCCCGGGCTTGGCGCCCTGCGTGGCCATCGCCCTGGGGACAGGCCGGCTGTGCGCGGGCCTTGCAGTGGCCGGAGGGCTCTAATTCGGGCTGGGCCACGTGACTGGCGGCCCCGGCTGTTGGGCCTGGACAGGGCTGTTTACAGAAAGGCCGGGCTCCCCCAGGCCCGCCGACTATTTATAGACGTGGGGGGCGGGGACTTGGTGCCACCGCCAGCGGCCAGCATGTGATGCTGCAGATCTTGTCAAACCTCCACGGTGTCTCCTCGCTCTCCCGAAGCCCCGAGTGTCCCCTAAGAAGGGCTCCAAGCCAGCACCCCCACCCCCAGGGGCCTTCAGCACCGCCCCAGGGGTGGGCAGAGGGCAGCACCCCCTCCGCTGATGTGACTCCAGCAAGTTCCTCTCCACGGCTCCTGATGGCCATTTGAAGGCTCAGCTTCCTTCACCTGGAAACAAGCAGACTAAGGCCCCCGAACCCTCCTGGACCTCCTGGAGCAACCCAGCCCCTTCCTCATGCACAGGGCCAGCTCCGCGCCCCACGTTCCCTCCTACCCTGAAGCCCCCTGGCACAGCCCCTCCTGGACACCCCATCCTCAGGCAGCTGGGCCTTCTGCACTCAGAGCCCCATGGCCCTCTGGCCCTTGCCAGCTGCTTCCCAGGGCTGCGGGCGGGGATTCTGCTCGCTCTGCCCCGCACCTGGCTGGGTGGCCCAGGCCGCTGCGAACACAATGCCTGCACTTCGAGCCCACCCAGCACCTACGCTGTGGTGTTTACCCCACCGAAATGCTGAGCGGGACTGTTGGAGGCCATGTGTGAGGAGAGGGGCTCAGAGGGACCGAGTGACCCGCCCAGGGTCAGGGCCAGGCCCCACCAGGAGCTGGGGTAGGCCCGGAAGCTGAAGGGTGGGGGGAGGGGTGGCTGGGTAGTGCAGCCGTCCGCTGGGGCTTGAATCATTAACTCTCTCTGCATGACCTTCGTGTGACAAGCTTGGGGTCCACTCCCTCCTGCGGAGTGTCTGGTCTCCCTTTCTCCAGCCTGAGAGTGCCAGGCAGGAACCCCATCAGCCTGGTGGCTCCGACCCCTCTGCAGCAAGACACCCGCCCCCCAGGGAGGGGCAGAGCGGGCTGAGCCCAGCCGGGATAGAAGGCCTAACGGGCAGCGCTGCTCCGGCCGTGGCCCCTCCCCCCAGCCATGGGGCTAGCCGTGCCGTGCCGGAGCCCACTGGGGGTGCAGTGGGCAGGAGGAACACAGGAGCCCCGCACACCCTGCACACCCTCCCTGGGCACCCAGACCGTCCACAAGCTGGAGCGGGAAAGCGCTCTGGTGTGGGTGGGGCCTTTCGGAGACCCTGGCCATGTGCGACCGGTGAGCGTCCCTGGCTGGCTGCTCGCCTGCCAGGCCAGGTTACCCTGACTGACTACACGGTCGGTCCCTTCCCCCCAAGTCAGGGCCCTGAGGACCGAGGGCAGCCGGGCTCCGGGTCGGAGCCCCGTGCGGGTGTGGGGCCAGCGGGCGCGGCCCCACGTGTGTCCTGTGCCAGGCGCCAGGCGCGCGCGCAGGGGA